CCGCCCAGGAGGCTCCGGAGCAGGCCGTGAGAGCGAAGGGTCCGGGCCTAGGTCCCTCTGCGTGGGGCGCTGGCCCCGGCCTTCCAGCGTTACTCTCCCGCCCCTGGTCGGGCTTCCGTGCGTGGAGTTCGCAGCCAGGTCCCTGGGGTGCGGGCGGCGCCCGCCGTTTCCCGTTATCCCCGCTCCCCACCCCCCCGCCCAGCCGAGCTGGGGCGTCTTTCGCCGAATCCCGCACAGCCGCCCGCTTCCCCCGCAGCAGGACTTCGTTCCCGGGCCGCGGGGCGAGAGGGGAGGCTGAGAAGGGCGTTCTGGAAGAGCGGCTGGTTCTAGGGAAGAACTGAACCAACGCCCCGAGAGCGAGCACCGGAGGAAAGCTTTCCCTGCCCCTTCAGCGTTCCTCGGAGTACCTAAAAAGATTTCCTTGGCCTTTTTGTTTTGTTTTGAATGCTAAAGTCGCAGGGGAAACATCTTTTAAATGTTCTCAGGTCCGCGCTGCTCTCATTTCCCTTTGGGGAAGACATGTTATTTTTTCCCCTTTGCTCAGAAGGCGGACAGGGTTTGCAGGCCGCCTACTGCGAGCCTCTAACAAAGTGCAGTAGGGGCGGCACCGGCGCCCCCAGTGCACCCCGGGGCCGTGCTGCCGGGCGGGGTGGGCCGCGCCCGGGGCCTCCTGCGGCAGAGGCCCCGGGCGGGGGTCCTGCCCCGTGAGGAGCGCCGCGAGGACGAGCTTTTCCACTTCGCCCTGCGAAGCGCGGGGCAGAGGTCGGCGCTCAGTGGGCCGCTCGGACGAAGCAAAGCTGGAGCGACACCCCCCACCCCACCCCCAAAGGATGGCGGCGGGCACGGCCTCGGGGGTTAGGACTGGGTCTGAGGCATCTGCACGAGCGGGAGCGCTCGCGCCCAGACATGAGCCCCTGCTGGTTTCGAGAGTTCGAGAACGTGAAGCGCCGAGCAGGCAGCAGCACCCGCAGTCTGCACAGGACCTGCGGGCTTGTCTACGCCCCGTTTACTGAAGAAGGCCTCGGCCCTTAAGGATCCTGAGGCCGCCCACTGCCAAGATGGTGTGGGGACAGGCCCGTCCTGAACCTTCCTTCTGCTGAGCCGCATCTCCAGGCCCACCAGACACGTTCATTCGCGTCCCCCCGCCCCAGGCCGCACGCGGCCTCTGCCCTCGACCCCGCGCCCTAGAGGGTGGCTACGGGGATATTGTGGGAGGGGCGCAGGAGTCTCTCCCCATTTAATTGAGGGAGAACAAGGGCATTATTGTCACCTCAAGAAATCAATTGCTGGTTGCCCCACCGCCTCACCGGACACTCGTTCCCCACTTCCAATTTGAAGCTGGCCAAAGAGCGATGCCTAGAGGCGCGGACGGGATGAGAGCCGAGAAGTTCACGCGCGGACAGAGGGGGCTCATTTTCCTGCATTCACAGGGCTTTCTGCACGCCCCGGCCTCCAGCGTCACCGTGGTCGCGATTAAAACGGAAAATAGGAACCCTGACCTCCCCTTCCATGAGAATCCAGCAAAGCAGAAAATTTCCTGCTGCATTCTGCATCTGGGACAATGTGAAACTGTCCTTTTGATTAAGTGGGGTTTTTTTGTTTTTGTTTTTCTATGAGGAACATCCACCAGGACTCCTGGACTTGGAGTCAGAACATCTTCGGCTTCTCAGCTAGGGCATCTACATTCCCAGCTTTTAAATAATATACACACCACGGGATTGTGCGCCAAGAGAAAGACAACGACATACGCGCATTCTCTTTGACCCTTCCGCTGTTAATACCTGTCACAATTCTACCTAGTTAATAACTGTGGTTGGAGCGCTCGCACCACCCAGAGCAGAACATGAGTGGGTCCAATCGAGTGAGGTTACATTTACTTGTAATCCTCCTTCCTCCCTTCCCAATTTCTTTGATGATTTTTCCCATAAGTGCATAAGCGGCGGGAACTTTATTAGAACAGGCCGCTCCTGAACGTGATTCGGACCATATGCTTTCTACATTCATTCCCGCTTGGGCTTTTCTTCTCCGCACTAACTGCTAACACGTTATAGTCACCTTGAAATTTCCTCTGCTATTTTCCAATTAAAAGCTTAATAGCCCTGGAAACGGAGTTCATGTGGTGAAGTTTACCATAGGCCCTTGTTCTGAAAGGCTTTCTGCTGGGATCCCATTATGTGCTTGAATAAACCCTTTCTGCAAACAGAAATGGGACTCGGGGTTGTCAGGTGTTGGGTTACAATAGACTTTGAGGCAGGGGACATTTTACCAACATAAATACAAACCTGTTCCTATAGGGAGATGTTGTCAAATACTGGGATATGGAAAACATTCCCATCAAATATGAGAAAAGGATTATTGCGCTATATCAAATGAGTATGTAGATCTCAGCCCCCGATGTGCACTGGAGTGAAACGGGGCCCGGACCAAATAATGCCAGACTGTTCCAGTGGCAAAGGGATAGGGTGGCTAGGTGACCGAAGGAGGGAAGGAGGTCGCCTTGGTAGTGGGAATGCCCCCCAAACCTGTTTTGAGAGCTGTTTTCCTTAAAAAAAAAAAAAAATCCTTTACTCCCAAGTTACTTATACTCCCCAGTTTCGCTGACCATTTGGAGAAAATTGGGAGACGTGTCTGAAAAAAGTCCGTGGTCTTTGCATTCCCAAGAGACCCAGAGATTTCCGCCTGAAAGTTCCCAGATTCAGTGTCATTCTAGACCCTCGTTGTCTCTCTTTATGTGAAGGGACTCGTCAACATCCCACTTCCCAGCCTCTTGCCCTCGGGGGGTTCCGGTGACCTCTGCCTCCCGTCCCGAGAGCTTAGGAAGTTCCTTCCAGCTGTGGTGCTTCAGGGTTTGCTTTCCTAGCGAAGGTTGGGAGCGGAGGGATTGAGGTGGGGGCGGTGGAGGGTGAGAGGCGCCCGAGGGGTCTGTGCTGACGCAGCTTTGCGGGGGAGGCCTCCTAGGGGTAGCGCTCTAGCGTCAGGGTTTCCTGCCCACGCCCCACCAGCAAGCCAGCATCCAGCGATCCCCAACTCCAGGACTAGTCTGAACAGGGGGGCGGCTAAGGGCTTCAAGGGAAACGCACACAACCCGGTTCCCTTTATAATCCTCCTCCCTTCCCAGAATCACCCTTCGGGGCGGAGGGTTGGCTGCCAGGAGGCCTGGCGGCGCTTTACTTGAATTCACAGCAAACACAGAGGGACGTTTTCCTGTTGCTTGTTTGCTTTCAGGACGGTGCAGAGAAAAACGGCCTCCCCGAGGGGACAAGGGGCGCTGTGCAGCCGAAGGGTTGGCCATTGCCGCGGACTCATCTCGAATTCGACTGGCCCCGACCTCCAAGAGATGAACTCGGTGTCCTCTCGGGAGCCTGCAGAACGAAGCCTCGGGGAATGCCGCCTCCCCAGCTTTGCACTGAACCCTTGTGCTCGCCGGCACCGCTTCACCCTCCTGTTTTTGTTTGTTTGTTTCCTTGCGGGGTGTGTGTGTGTGTGTGTTTGCTTAGGCTTCCCTGTGCCTTGCTCGCGGTAGTCTGCATTAGGCCAAACCGGTACTCGTACATTAGAGACACGCCGGTAACAGTTTAAACAGTGTGATGCTGTCCTCGTGTGCAGAGACGCTGGGGTGGGGGAAGGGGAGCACGGCCCCATCCCTTCTCCGCAACTCAATCACCAAGTCTGTGGGGATTTGAATTAGATGACTCCAGAGCTCGGTTTGATGGCGCGATGGCTGTTGGGCAGAGCCGAGCGGGGATCATCACATCCGGTAACTTGTGGGGCGCTAACGTGGCTCCCTGGTCGGCTCTCGTAAAGTTTAGACCCCGCACTCAAGCAAGTCTTCCACAAGAGCGCCTCCGGACCTTTCAGGACAGAAACTGTTTTTTACTAAAACATGGGGAGGAGGGTAGAGAAACAAAAGTCAGGGCCAGAGAGGGAGGACTGTTCTTTTTGAAATAGCCTGCAGAATGGGTTGTCGTCCTTGGGCCCGTAGGTTTTCATAAACATTCATTTTATTCTACCGCAGCAAAAGAAAAAATGCTGCAAAAGGAAATGAAGAAAACCAAAATTTCCTGGACCAATTCCACTGCCCTAACCCAACTCCACCCGCCAGTGGCCCCAGGGCCTGGCTCGCCCCAATTTAAAACTCTGCCGGCTCCTGCCGAGTCCCGGGGGCACCCGCGGCGCTCCGATAGGCTCCGGATCTCGCGGCGCCCTCCCTGCGGCCAAGAGTGGGGATGAAAGCGGCCTCCGGCTCGGTGCTGCCAGAGCAGGCCTGCGGGGGCGTGTGGGGGGGAGCGCTGGCGAGCGGTCACCTCACTGGCCTACAGGCACCCCCACCCTCACCCCCGCGGGTCCACCTCTTCCCCGCCCCGAGGGCACGGCCGCGTCCCGAGCGCCGCAGTCCGGCAAAGCGTAGGGAGCTTGGAGTAGGGGGCCGTGAGCGCCCCCGCCAGAGTGGCCCGGCTGCAGGTGGCAAGGAAGGTGAAGTGCAGGGACTCCGGGGGCGCGAGCGGGAAGGAAGGAAGAAGGCGTGGAGTGGGGTGGAGAGTGGGGAGCGCAAGGAGATCGGGACCCCGGGGGTGGGGGTGGCAGTGGGAGGGGGGAGGAGTGGGGGGAGGGCGGCGGAGGAGGTGCAGGGGCCGGCCAGCGCGCGCGGGAGCTGCAGACGAGCTGCCTCAGACCTTAACCAGAGCTCTCGCCGGCTCCTCGCAGCCGCCGCAGCGCCTCGGCGAGGGAGGACGTGCCGGCCGAGGCAGCCGCCGGCGGAGGCGCGACGCGCGGGGGATTGCCGAGCACCCGAGGGAGGCTGAGGCTGCGGGCGCCGCGGGATCCGTGAAGACGGCGGCTGCACCCCCCGCCATCCCGGAGCGCACGCAGCCGCCGGGGCTGCGGGACCAGGGACCGCTCCGCCCGCGGGCCGCCCCGGAGCGGGCCTCCCGGCCCCGCCGTCCGGCGCCCCCCGGCCCGCTGCCGCCGCCAGCCCGCCTCCTCTCCCTGGAGTCCGGGACATGAACGGCTACGGCTCCCCCTACCTGTACATGGGCGGCCCGGTGTCGCAGCCGCCGCGGGCGCCCTTGCAGCGCACGCCCAAGTGCGCGCGCTGCCGCAACCACGGCGTGCTGTCCTGGCTCAAGGGCCACAAGCGCTACTGCCGCTTCAAGGACTGCACCTGCGAGAAGTGCATCCTCATCATCGAGCGGCAGCGGGTCATGGCCGCGCAGGTGGCGCTGCGCCGGCAGCAGGCCAACGAGAGCCTGGAGAGCCTCATCCCGGACTCGCTGCGCGCCCTGCCCGGGCCCCCGCCGCCGGGGGACGCCGCCGCCGCCGCCGCCGCCGCTGCCGCCCCGCAGCCGCCGCCGTCCTCGCAGCCGTCTCAGCCGCCGCCGCCGCGGCCCGCCGTGGAGTTGGCTGCGGCCGCCGCGCTGCGCTGGGCCGCCGAGCCCCAGCCCGGGCCGTTGCCGGCGCCGCTCGCCAAGCCAGGTAAGAGCGTCTGCCGTGCGCGAGGCGGGCGCGGCGCGTGGGCGAAACCTTCGCAGCGGCCGCGGCGGCTTTGCCCGGGGGAGGCCCGCAGGTAATGTTCGGGCCTTCCCGCCCAACTCTCGCCAGGACGGTTCTTACTCTCCGGGCGCAGGCCGGCCTTCAGTCTGGACCCGGAGCAGGTGGAGCCCAGGCACCTGCCGGCAAGGTGCCTCGGGCGAGCCAAATGGCGGGACTGGGCGTCGGGCTTGCCAGACGCCTTCCCCGGGGGAACGCGGCCGCTCCAGCCGGTAAATAAAGAGGTCGAAGCAGGACCACGTTAAAACCCACGCGGGCACACACCCCACTGCGCGGCCGGGCTTTTCTGGCTGCGGGCACAGAGGGCCTTGCCTTTGGAGGTTGGGACAGGTAGGTCCAGGGAACTGTAGCCTAGGCCAAGGCTTGGCCAGCCTGAGCTGGGCGTGCTTCTCCGGCCCAGGGAACTGGAGTGAACCCGAAGCCTTTCTAGTAAGGCACTGTGGCTTCCAGCTTCTTGCGATGTGTTGAAGGAAGCCCTATTTAGAAGCTTAGTAAAAAGGGCCAGAAAGCTTTCTGAAACGGTAGCGGGAGACCCCGAATCTGGCGCACCCAGCTCTTGCGGAGCTGCTCAGATCTTTTAAGGCCGTTCCTCCGGCCGCCCTCAGCGGTCTCTGTGGTTTAAAGAAATACAGCTAAAACTTGTCCTACAGTGGAGAAGGACACCTCTGCCCAGCTCCTTCCCGGGTTCTGGGCGGATGTGGTGGTGGGCCCCTTGCTACTAAGCGGCAGCTTTGAAGAAAAGGCTCTCTCACCTCCCCTTCCGTCTCCTCCTGTGCGGTGCTGCAGAGAGGGAGAGTCTGCCCAGAGTCCTGGAGGTGGGCATATTCCCACAGCCCACCTCCCCGCTTCCATCTGCTTCCTTCCTCCGGCCCTGCAGACCCCAGTTGAGTCTCTTTCCTCCTGGGGAATCTCTGGCTTGCTGTCCTTGCCAGCCCCAGTGCTCCTGTGATTTTAGGCTCTTGGAATTCAGTGGTCATGTGTTTGATGTTCCCTTGGACCGGGCCCAGTGTACAACAGGTAAAAAGCCCATCTTCCCCGGAAGCGGAGTAGGGGCTATACCGAAATTTGGAGAGGGCAGGCCCTGGAAGGCCCAGAGCCCTCTTGTAGGTAGAGCTGGGATAGAGCTTCTGCCTACACCCCTCCCCCCTCAAATACATTGGCCCTGGCTTCTGGAGAGATGCTTTTGGGAGCACTGGACTGCTGTGTGGAGCTGGGGAAGTGCAGACTCACTGGTGAGCTGATAGGCAGCCTGGAGGGCACAGGTCCGTCTGCTGTCCTGTTGCTCAGTTACGCTCTGCAGGCCCGAAGCGCTGAGAACATCTACGTGAAGAGTAGGACTGGGCGTTTTGTGGACAGTTTGCTGAACATGGATTTTTGTGGGTATTTAATCTAAAGTAGGGTATAAGCGTATGTGGGGGTAACGAGCACCCCCCCACCCCCCATGCCTGGGCAATCTTTTGTCCCTCTCATCTCTTTGTATTTATACATTCGCCTTAGAGGAGTGGGAGGCGAGGAGAAAGACGATTCAAGAAGATTCTTTTTGCTTTTCTCTTTTAAGTTAGGACAAGTAACTAGGAGGGTTGTGTCTCAGTTCTAGAAGTTGACCCATGCCAGTAACTTTTCTTAACCTTTCCGTTTCCAGTTTCCCTGTCTGGGTTCCCCCAGTGGCAGAACAGGAGCCGGCCCTGTAAGCCAGTGGTAGCTTTTAGCTGTGGCCATCTGCCCAGCAGCACCCCAAGGGCATTGGGTTCTGGAGTCTTTGCCCAAGAGGGGATTCTTTCACACCCTGTGCTCTTCAAACCAGTCTTTGGGATAGCCAGAGTTCAAGGTTTCTAAGGAGTTGCAAAACCAAAACAACCAAGGGAGGAGGGGTCTTGAGAGCCGGGAGGGAGGCGGGGTAGGAGCTGCCGTAGCCAGCTTCTGGCTGGGGAATAAAAGAGGGAGACCATTCAACTGGAGAAACCAACCCTGGTGCGCTCGCTCTTACTCCACACCAATTATTCGGGGATAGCCTGAGCCTTCCGAATTGAAAACAAGTAATTGAACAGGAGACTAGGCTTTGGGGGACCCGAGCCATCAGGAACCAAAAGCCCAGTTTCCGGCTCCTCAGGCTGCATATTTTGCACATTCATTTATATAACTTTTGTTCTCTTCTTTCAATCGGTTCGACCCCATAATTCCATGCTTTTAAAAAATAGCCAATCACCAATCCAAAGGTGGGAGGAGGCAGGAAAAGAACAGATCATTATTTCCCATTAGGAAGGCGAGCCTACAGGTGCATTGCTTTATATGGAGGAAGCCCATTTGGGGTTTAAGTCAGAGAAAACTGTCTAGTGTGAAGACCGGTTGCTGTGTGTACTATGCCTTTTTGCAGCTGTTCTGTAATGTATTTGTATGTAACATGCTATGTGTATTTAGCAGCGTATCAGATACTCCTGGACAAGTAGCTCACTGCATTTAGAGGAGTAAGTGACGCTCTATTGGAATGGTAGGTCCACGTGTACAGTAAGTTCACAGACCATTAGGAATCTACATGTCGGCTGGCACATTACAGAGATGTGCTTGTTTGTGATATCTGTATCCAAAATGCCGTTGGTTCTTTTTGCAAAGGGCCTCTTTAGTACATAGCTATGGAGACATATGCTTGTTTGCTATTGGATACAAACTCAGGAGTCTTTCCCTCTCCAGAAATCCTTGAGAAGACCCGCTTGCCCTAGAGAAGGGTACATTTCTTGGGCACCGCTGGAGGAAAAATGCCCCGTTGGGGGAGTGGCACGTTCACACCACATTTCAGCTGTGTTGCTCAAAGAAATCTCTATCCCAAAATTCCGCTTCAGATTCTTTAAAGGAGTGGGGGTGGTTTTATCTAACAGGGGAGTACGCTGAGCATCCCTTTCAATGTGGCGGTGGCTTTAAGGAGAATTTTCCTACTCTAATGCCATTACTTCTCGTTCCGGATTGGAGCCTTCTTTTTTCCTTCTGGGTGTAATTTCCCTTGCTCCTTGATTATCGCCTATGACTGGCCTCACACTACTAGATTTTGATTGAGCCCCCAATTCTAATTTAAGCTTCTTTATACCACTGACTCACCTATTCTCCTAAATTCCCTCCTCATCGTCTTCACCCTCTCCCCTCCCCCCATGAAAATATCATGGGAAGTGTGGACTTTTTTCAGCTCTTAGTGTATCTGAGTCAGCAGCTTCAACCAGCCAAGCCAGCCTTTCCGGACGTGGGCTCAAGAGCTGAGGAAAGTTAAGGGTCACGACCAAGGTGAGGAGCTAAAGTTACATTCTTGTGTCCTCATCCCTTCCCTCACCGCCAGCTTCTCCCCCTCCCCAGGAGCGTGTCCTGGGTACCCTGGGGCTGTGCAAGGAAAGACCCCTGGTTATAGATTCTTCCTACATTTGTCTACAAAGTAAATGGTACACAAGTTCTTTAAAATGTTCTTAAAGGAAAAGGAAGGAAAAAGAAATAAAAAACAGCATATTTGGTTAGGAACAGAAGGCCAGGATCAGGTAGGAAAGTAGGAGCTCCTTTTCTGTGTGTTTCTCCTGAAGAGGAGCAAACAAGAGACCTACAAGGAGAGAAGTAAGGAGATTGTAGAAAACTGTCTTTATTTAGTTTTATCTCCTGCTCGGCACCTCTTAGCAGCTTAATGCCAGCTCTGTGCTTTTTTGCTCCAGCTTGATTGAGTCCTGTCCCGTCTGCTTCCTAATATTTAACTGTACTTTAATTTTTTTTTTTTTTTTAAAGAAGAGATAGACGCACCTGCAAGTGTAATGATTGTTACCTGATCACCGGTCCCCGGCCAGAATGGGAAACCCTAGTGATTACAGACTAGAAGCAAACGAAAAAGCCAGAAAGACTTCAAAGTCACTCATGAAGTGTAGTTATGAATTAAAAAAAGAAAACAAAACAAAAACGGGGGCGATCTGGTTATTTAAGACGGCTTGATTTGGGGCGAGGAACCTGACTCATAGTAGCCCTTTGAAACACAAAAACCGACCAAATGCAGAGGTTCAACTGGTCCCGTACTCGTGGCCTCTTGCAAACCTTTCGCCTGGGCTGGCGCAGGGGGTGGGACGCAGGACGCACAGCTGCCGGTGAGCGCAGCAGGTGCAGACGGTGGCCCGGGGCAACGTCCCGGAGGGGGGAACCCCCCCCCCAGAGGCACCTACGCCGGGGCTTTCCTCTTCCAGGGGAGCGGAGCAGGAACCCTAGGAAAGGCGCGCGCCGCGGCGGGGCGGCTGCACTGGGCCGCTGGCCCCTAGCACCCGGTTCCGGTCCCGGGGAGGCTGCAGGCGGCGGCTCGGGCCCGCTCCCAGGCCCGCCCCGGCTTCCCGGGCCGCCTCGGGGGCCGCAGGCTCCCTGCTGGCTCACCCGACGGCCGCGAGGGCAGGGCCCGGGAGCTGCGCGCTGCAGGGGCGAGAAGCCGGCGGCCCCTCCACGCCCTTCCCGCTCCCTCCCTGCTGCCTCCGCAGCTTCGGTGGGTTGCCAGATTCAGCAGCAACAAAAAAAGTGCAAATAGGCAAACAAACATACAAAAAATAGGATGTCAACGATTGCCCGGGGCATACTTCGACTGAAACACTTTTTCATTATTCATCTGAAGTTCAGATTTAACTGGGCGTCCTGCCGTTTTTGTCCGGCAACCCTAAACCCAGGCAGCGCCCTCCGCGCAGGGCGCCCCTCGGGGAGGGGGTGGCTCCGGCGCGTCCGCCGGCTTCTCTCTCTCCGTGGGGCCCCTCATGTCCCTCTTGCGGCGCCCAGGACAGGGCTGGCAGGAAAGACGAGCGCGTTTTCCGCGTCTGGGAACCGCAGGTCCACTGCCCTCCGGGAACGAATCCCCCCCCCCCCCCCACGCCATCTCACTCCTCTAGGTTATAAATCTGGCGGACAGCCGGGCTCTCGACTTACACGACCAA